CAATACGTCTTTTAATTTCCTGGCTGCTGGTGCCAAGAGTGTTGACTGTGGAGCCACGCAAACTAAAGCTGTGAACAATCTCAATCTCTTCACCATCCATCCTGGTGAAAGAAAAGTCCAAGGTCCTAAAACTAATTTTTCATGAGCAAAATCATAGCGATGGACCAGGTCTGCAAAGGAATTCTTACTTAGAGATTGAATATAGAGAAGTCACATTCTTAACTTTGGCTACAACTCATGGTGACAATATGCATAAATGAAATAAATAAAGCACATTCCAGTCCTGTGTCATCTTCATTAATTTTGCTGTCTCTGAGTTCATTGTTGAGTTAATGTGCAGGGACTAGGAGTGCAAACTCTGATACATGGGTTCAGCTCTATGGCAGAGGTCCTTCGAAAACCTCACAATTGCTTGGATGGACATACCGAACCATCTGGCATTGAACTCTACATTCATCTAGCCACCCTTCAGTGACTAACTGATCTTCCCATCAACGCAATGGCAGATACGAAGCTTTGCAGTCCGCAGTCACTGGAACTATAACTGTACTCAAAATATAAGTAGTCCAACATTAAGGTACTACATTTTATATGGACAGTTTATTTTAACCTGCTACCAGCAGTGGCATCCACTTCTGAAATGGCTTGCCTCCGGAAACCCTATGAACAATGCTCAGGCCTTTCATTCATAGGGTCACTATGAGTCATCTATGACTCGATGGCACCTAACAACAACAACAATCAGCTAATGTACTCGGTGTATTGAGGAAAATGTTTAGATATTTTAAAATATCTTCTATTTTGGTGAATCCAATTTCCCTGGGGGAAACATTTAACCAGAAATAGCCAAGAATGGGATACACAACCTTATAATCAGATGACCTCCAGAAGGGCTAAGGGGTTCTGTTTTCATGCACCCTGTATCACTTGTATACCCCATATTTGAAATAATGCCAGTGGCAAACAATGGAGATAGAGTAGCCAGGAAGCGAGTTATAACAGGATGTGGAGAAACCAATACGGAATGTTCCCTACAGCTTAGTAATAAGCATGAACCCAGTCTTATCTTGCTTACTAGGTACTACGTCCCTGTCAAAAACTATAAATTTGCAAAAAGAGACTTTGATTCTGTAGGAAGCTGATAAAGGAGTAAGACAGAGGCCAGTCTGACTCAAAAGCAGAATCTTTGATGTGGTGAAAATTTTCACTGCAGGTCAGAGGTAAACACAGCCCATGCTTACTTGCTTCTTGGGTAATTTGACACTGCTTGAACCCTAACAAAAGTCGTAAATAACATCATTTCTGAAAGGTAAACCAATCAACTTCACTACCCAGGATTGTCATGGAAAATCGCATAGTCCTGGATTACTTTTTAACTGGTCTGGAGGAGTGTTTCTGCTGTAGCAAGCAGTACTTTGTTGTACTCATGATTAAACTCAAGTTTTAGAAGTTACCCAGTATACTTACATAATGGAATGAAGATCAATGCCACTGAATTGTATATGTAACAAATGTTGACATGACAAATGTTTTGTTATGTTTCTTACTGTGCATTATTGAGTTGGATACCACCCATAGCTGACTGGCTGTCTGAAGAGTTTTCACAGGCAGTTAATCATGAGAGGAGACTGCCCATATTGCAGAACAGCTTCTTGCCACTAGGCCAGCAGAGCTCCAATAGATAGATAGATATAGAGACATATATAAAATGAGTTGAATTGACACAGTGACTTCAGCAATAGGCTCTAGTGTGTCAGAGATGATAAGGATAGAGCAGGGTTCAGGTTGGCTGTTCATAAGATCCCTATGAGTCGTACTTGACTCAATGACACCTAACATCGTGTGTGTGTGTGTGTGTGTGTGTGTGTGTGTGTGTGTGTTATAAGTTATATAGAAGTGGCATCCACTTTCTAAACAACTTGCCTCCAGAAACTCTATGAACTTTGATAAATGTCAGTAGTTGTAGAGGGGCTTCAAGCCTTTTGTTCAGAGGGTCATTATGAGTCGTGCTTGACTCGAAGGCAATCAACAACAACAGTTTATGTTATCTATAAGTTATATGTGTTATCTCTAAGATATATATGTGTGTGTATATATATAATCTATAAAAGGCAGCACAGGAATACAAAGTAAAGTATTCCAATGAAATGTGCAAGGAGGAGCTGGAGTCAGAAATCCAAAGGACCAAACTCACTCAACATTTCTTAGGTTCAAAGAACTGAAGAACAAATTCAAACCTTGAATTGCAATACTTAAGGATGCTTTGAAAGGGCAGAATATTAAATGATCCAGGAAGTATTAAAAGAAGACGGAAGGAGTATACAGAGTCATTGTACCAAAAGAATTGGCAGGCACAGAAGAATTTAATGAAACAAAATATGAGCAAGAGCCTGTGGTTATGAAGGAAGAAGTTCGAGCAGCTTTGAAAGAATTGACAAAAATTAAACTTCCAGGAATTGATAGTATACCAATTGATGTATTTCAACTAACAGATGCTGCCCTGGATGTACTCACCAAATCTGGAGGACAACCACTTGGCCAACTGACTGGAAAAGATCTATATTTGTTCCCATTCCAAAGAAAGGTGATCTAGCAGAGTATGGAAATTATTGAACAATATCAATGATATCACATGCAAGTAAGATTCTGCTGAAGATTATCCAAAAACAACTGGAACAGCACATTGACAGAGAACTGCCAGAAGTGCAGGCTGGGTTTAGAAGGGGTCGTGGTACTAGGGATTTTGTAAGGCAATAACAGATAGATCTTGGCTGAAAGCAGGGAGTACCAGAGGAATGTCTATCTGTGCTTCATTGATTATACAAAAGCATTTGACTGTGTGGATCATAACAAACTGTGGCTAACTCAAAGAGGAAATGGACATCCCAGAACAGTTAATCCTGCTAATGTGAAACCTATACTAGCAGGAGGCAGTCATCAGAACAGAGCAAAGAAACACTGCATGGTCCAAAATTGGGAAGAATGTACACCAGGAATGTGTCCTATCCCCATACCTTTTCAATTTGTATGCAGAACAGATCATCCAGGAGGCTGGCCTGTATGAGGAGAAATGTGGCATCAGTATTGGGGGCAGATTCATCAACAGTCTGCGTTATACAGGTGATATACCCCTGCTTGCTGAAACTGAGGAAGACCTGAAGTGCTTGTTGCAGAAGGTCAAGGACTGCAGCCTTCAGTATGGATTGAGGCTCAATATTAAGAAAACAAAGATTCACCATTGGGCCAATTGTCAGCATCAGGATGGATGGTGAAGAGATTGAGACTGTTAAAAGCTTTAGTTTGCTTGGCACCAGCAGCCAGGAAATCAAATATGTATTGTGATGGGAAAGTCTGCTGTTACAGACCTCTCCAAAGTACTGAAGAGCAATGATGTCACTCTGGAGACTAAGGTGCACCTTATACAGTCCATGGTCTTTGAAATCACTTGCTATGTGGCAGAGAGATGGACAGTGACTAGGGAT